GGCTCTTCTCGACTCTCAAAAGGGAATTCTTTGTAAAGTAGAGACAAATAATAATGAATTTCAAAACGGATCCATTAAATAATGTTTACCATATTTAGTATATTTTACTGTAATTCATATTATTTGTTGCAATTTTCCATTTATATTATTACTTATTCTTATATTTAAAGCATTTAAATACTCATTCAAATTGGAATTGAATTCTTTATTCAAAATAAAATGAATGAAAACTATTTATAATTGTTTTCAAAACTGAAAATCATGTTTAGTTTAGTTTAATTTTAATTAAATTAATTAAAAGTATATAATAATTAGAGGTAATTGGACTGAAATGGTGTACACATTTTCATTCGACATCTTCCTCTTCCATGTCTTGAATCTCTTCAGTTTCTGCTTCGGCTTCAGCTTCTTGTTCAATGATAATCGAATGATTGGTTGATTGATGTCTCTGAAGATATCATTAAAACACTATTAGTTCCACACTTATTATCATCGCATAAATCACACATACCTTCAAGTGATGACTTCGAGCGAAACCTTTGCCACAATTGGGATATTCGCAGACAAACCTCTTCTCTCCGGTGTGAGTGATCTTATGGTTAGTGACATCGCACGCGCGCACTGACCGATATTGACAGCCGGGCCTATAGAGCACACAATGTTATTCACATTTGTTATTACAATGGCATACAAAGTACAGACCAATCGCATGCAAACGGCTTTTCTTCCATATGAATCAATTGATGTTTTCTCTAACAAAAGCGCAATAAAAATCACAATTAGAGTCAAAATAAATGTCTAACAATTAGTTGTATTCATACGAGATGTGAGTTTTGGGTATAACTTCGGGTACAGCCTATAAATGAGAGCAAAAATCATTAATCACATGGGAGAGAGACTGGGGTCAGAGTGTGAGCCATACCGGGCCAGTCGCAGACAAAGAACTTTTCGCCGGCGTGTACTCTCTTATGATCGTCGAGATTGCCCTTCACTGCGAATCTCCACTCACATCCGGGCCAATCGCAAACGTACGGCTTCTCACCCGTATGGGTCCTCATGTGGACCTTCACGTTGTTTTTCTGTCCAAAATAATAATTAGAAAAAGGGGTTTAATTGACGCAAAAACTCGACTAAAACCCATAAATACCTGACTGAAGAAGAGCGTACAACCCGGCCATTCGCACGGGTATGGCTTCTCTCCGGTGTGGGTTCGCATATGTGTCTTAAGCGCTGATCCCTGAATGAAACTGAGGCCACAGTCGGGCCAATTGCATCGATAGGGCTTTTCGCCAGTGTGTGTGCGCTTATGGTCTTTCAAGTGAACCTAAAGTGCAAACAAATAATACAATAAATAAATCGCGGTATTAAATGCGTGAATGTGTGGTACAGACCGAGTGTCTGGCGATGTAATTGCACCCTGGCCAATCGCACGGGTACTTTCGGGTAACGCCAGTCGGTTTACGACCCCTTTTCTTCTTGAGAAGCGTGTCGTCAGTGATAATATTGGACACGACTTTGAGATTGTATTGATTGGCTTTGGATTTACTGATGTTTTGCGGTTCGCTTTTAATCTTCCGCTTAATCGCCGTCTTTGGCGGCGAGTCGTCGTTGTGCTCGTCGTCGTTGTCGTCGGTCTTCTGCTGTCCGCCGCCGGAGAAGCGCTTCACAATCGACTGATCCGTATTGTGTCTCAAGAGGTAGTGATTCTTCACTTTGTCAATGGTATCGAAGCGTCGGTTACAGAACTTACAGCTGTATTGCGTGACCACAACCGCCTCAGCGATGATTATATCGTCCGCTTCCGAGTTGTCAATCATGTCTTCGTTGCCGTCCGCCTCTTCCAACTCCTGGTCGTCCTGCGGCTCCTCCTCTTCGTCCAACTCTTCGTTGCCCTCCAACTCATCCGCGTCTTCGGTGGCGTTAATCATCTCATTGTCGTCGCCGTTGTCTTCGTAGGTGTCGTCTTCGGGCATCACTTGTGCCGTCACATAAGTGCCTTCCGATGACTCAATCATATGAACGGCCACCAGATTCTCATCCATTCCTCGTCAGTCAAAATCAGTGGTTAAGAAACACAACGAGTTTTTGGCAAATAATAACTGTAAGAGAAATGAGAAGAAAAATGGGATTTCAGTTAATTATAGTCTAATTAATGAACAAATTATGTNAATGCATACAAATGTGTATTACATTCAAATCCAATACTATATGTGATTAGAAATTACGTCCGAATTAACTCACATCTCAACCGCCCTTTCGCTCGCCGTTTAGACCATTGGCCGCCGATTTAAACGCTGTTTAGGCCGACAATAGTTGACTCAATCGCCGTTTGGCCACAGATTTGGGGCTGAGTTCGCGGTCCACTCAATACAACCACACTTTCACTGAACAATACATTCAACGCAAACACACAATGCATTCAAAATGGAGACACACTTTATGGGGACCGACCATACATTACGGCCGCACACAACACAACCACTCAATCAATGCGTTAGAAACATGTGTTGCAAAACTTAATTAACTTTTTAATTCACACTTTAATTAACGTTATATTTATTGAATTAATTAATTAACGTCTATTACAAGCACTCGTTTAGGCATTGATTACATAACAAACTGATAGCGTAAACGGTGTGTGTCTTTAGAGTACATAAATGTAAAACCATTTGCGCTTAAAAATAGATATTTAATTGAGTTATAAATCATTTATAAATTAATGTTAAATCCAATGATCACTAAAATACATGACTACAAGAGTAACACCAGATAGCGGTGTCGATGGGCCGGACGTATGGCCTGAATGGGTGTCTACTGCGGGTTTGGATGCAAATCCTTTGCGGTATTCATTTGTCGCATGTATTTAGCGATAGTTTGAGCCATTTGTTGGTCGCGAAGATAGCGATTCTTCTGGCCGACAGTCAAGGGTCCGAACCCGCGTCCGTCAGTGTAGGACCAGTCGGGGCCGTCCGTTATGGCCGCCGACAGGAACTGCTTCTCACCCAACCCTCGCTGTCGTCTCCATTTGCGGACAGTTATCGGTCGCACAGATNTGGCCGCCGACAGGAACTGCTTCTCACCCAACCCTCGCTGTCGTCTCCATTTGCGGACAGTTATCGGTCGCACAGATGTCCGCCAAACGGGTCCACACGTTGTCGACAATCGGCTCAACGCTTTCGTCAACATTTTTATCGTCCAATACTTTAACCGATAGTTTAATACACTATTCAATGAGTGTTTAAATTGTGTGTTAATTGCATCTCATTTTCATTCAATAACACTCGAGTCACGTGTTGTCTATGTATTGCATGTTATATACAGTTTGACACACTTTGAATGCAATACCCGTTCATTACTTAATTGATTGCTTCAAACAATTGATTGACTATTGATTTGCATAAATAATTTTGTTGGCATTCATAACGCGATTCAAATATATTATAAATTATATCTTATTTAAATTATTTACATTTGATGTCTGTAACGGGCGTAGACTGTACTATAATTGAAGTGTACAGTACATTTTTGGCATGTTTAATTGTGATTAATTTTTATAATATTTGTAAATTACAAAGAAATATTAAATTTTATAAATTACTATTTAATAAAACAAATATTGCATTAATGTTAATCCAATTGATAGTTATAAAAACTAGTGTTATATTATAACGAGTTCATTGACCTCAAGAATATATTTAACTATTACAGTATTACTTTGTAATTTACCATATATTATATATACCATATACCATGTTATATATTCTGTTAATGTCATGCACAACATGTATTTTATTTTATTATAAATCATGATGATATTTAATAGAGTATAAGTTTTGATACATGCTTTTCTATGGATGTAATCTTAGGTCAAAGAGTATCAGAATTTCCATTAATTATAAATTTGAGATAACCATTATATTGTTGAATTACTCAAACCAATCTTATCTGGGTTGAAATTTCTTACTAGTTGTAGTCAAGTCTCACATGTTAGTAATGAAGGGCTTATTTATAATATCTTCATTAAATATTGGTCAACTAATTCTGGTTTAAATTGGCTTTTGGTTTGCAGTGATTTAATTTGCACATAGTTTTGATTATTAATCGATTCATAGAAATGATTGTCTTATTTGCTATTCATTTGCTGTATACAAACTTTTCTAATAATAACTTTTATAAAAATAACTCTATTTTTAAGACAAATGTCAATCTCTATCGAGAAGTTGTCACAAAATGCCAACATTTATAGGAATTATATCAATATTACTATTGGTTAGTGCGACAAATGGATTGGCACTTAACACCGGTATAACTGATCCAATAGTCGGCTCCATTGATGGGCATATTGTTGTTGAACAAAATGGGACACAAATTACTCCCGATTCAGGAGTTTTGACCACAGATTCAGATTTCAAAGCGTCGGTTGAAATACGAAACTCAAATAATTTAACGCAAGTTTCCTACTCTTGGTTTGTCGACGACTTTGAATTCAAAGCCACTTCGAGTCCTCAACTCATATATCGCTTCCAATGGCCTAAAGAATACAAACTAATGGTTGTTGTGTTGGCGAAGGAATGCAAATCACGAAACATTTGTGAACCCAAATGGGGTATTATCAGGAGAAGTGTTGCCGTAATTCAACGCAATGCAAAAGCGAACAATAATTTAGTGAATCTTTCGTTGGAACCGCTATTGAGACCCCGAAGAAGACATTTGGAGAATGAATTCTATGGCATTTATGGCGCTCTCATAATCGGCGGAGCGATTCTTATGACTTTAATATTTGTTTCAATTATTATTCACACAATAATTATTTGCGACAAAAGATGTCATAAATTGGAAAATAAGAGGTCATTAATTGAGAGCAAGAATAACAATATTAGGTATCGATATTATACTATTGAGGAATGATTCTTACAGTATATTATTATATATAAGGGAATCGTTTGTGAAATAATATTTTCATTAATAAAGCATATATTAATATTATAGTACTGTTGAGATTCTTATCGTCATATAAATTAAAGAAATATTTAGTTTAAAAAATGAATTATTAAATTTTGTTGAAACAACTTTCCTTAATAAGATATACTGTACTGTATGTGTATTTCGTATACTGTAATAATTGCAATTATTGTAGAGAATCTATGTCACTACTTTCCATGTACTAAGTTACTAAACATAATGAAACAAATATTAAATAAGTTTAATTCATAAATGCATATTTTTATTGATAATTTAACTCTATTTTTATATAATAATAAAATATAATTGATAAATGAATAAATTATTTTCCAAACATTATGAATGGTTAGTAACACTAATTTGTAAATCAATTAGTATTTGAGTAAAAATTTCCATATAATGAAACAGTTTGTTAATCATATTGCTTAAAGATTAGATCTGAAATGTGGTTTGTGTTGGATTTAATTCAATGACCAAATGAATCTGAAGCTAATCTCAAAGTTATTATATATATTAAACATAACTATCTTATGAATTAACTAATATTTATATTATGGAAATATAATTGAATTTATGGTCGTTTCGGAAAAATAAAAATTTTCGTCAACTATTGAGAAATGTGTTTCTCATGAAAATTGTGAAATGAAATATAATTTAAACATTCAATAGTTTTAATCATTTTGTTTATTAAAAGCCGAAATGAGATAAATTTACAAAAAAATACATTGATTTTAATATAAATTTCAATTTACGTCAAACAAAAACAGGAAGTTTCCGATAAATTCAATAATAAGTCAATCAAATAAAATGTTACAAAAATTAATATTTTTTAGATAAAGAATTTGTTGACCATTTTATGACAATTAATTTAAATAATATATGTAAAGTATTTATTTAATATTAATTGTTATCTTACTTTTAAATTAAATTAAAACACTGTTTAATAAATTAAAATTTCTGCCAATTTGTGCAATATTTGGCAATAATTATTATTTATTTCTGATTAGATTTCAATTCAACCAAAGCTATCCATAAGTATCATTAAATAAAGTCTATTTAGTCATAGACTCTAACACTAGAAATGTAATTAAATTAAAGCTTAAGAATACATTTGAACTCATATTTTGTATTTCAATATTAATATTGTTGTGATTTAACAAACAAGTGAAGGGCAAAGGATTAAACACAATGTTTGATAACTGACCAATACATCTATTATGATCTTGTTTTTCTACTTTCAGGGTTATTTTGTTTACCACTCCAATATGACCCTCAATATTAAGTCAATATTTTATTATCAAATTATTACAAATTAAATGTTGTAGATATTAATAATTTTCTAATTCACATAATACTGTAAATTGTGTATAATTAATATATTGATTAAATAATATATATTTAATAGACATGAAAGACAAAACACACATATTTATAAATTATTACATATTTACATAAAAGTCATACAAATAAAAGCCAGAATATAATCCCAAATGCACTTCACTTGCACTGCGATCGCCACCACTTTCGCCTCAAATCGCTTATAACTCCGTTTGTCTTCAAGTGATTGACCGCATAATTGAAACTATAAAGAAGTGGCGAACTCTTGGGGAAAGCGATTCCGTACTGACGATTGTGCGGAAGACCCGAATCAAT